AATTAGAAACTGTATATACGTTAAAGAAAAGCCTTTAAATAAAAATAAAGTTTCTACGTTGGCAATATAAAAAAAAAAAAAAATATGAAAATGCTTAAAAAGAAAACTAAGAAAACTACACTATCAGAATTGCAAAAACGTGAACTTTGTGAATATGCTTGTGAAAATAAGCAAACATGATCTCAATATGTTAATTGGATCAAAACAAATTGAGGTCTTAGAGTTGATAAAAGCACCATTTCATGTATTTTAAAAACAGGAGAAAAATGGCTTAACTCTGAAATTTCTAATCCTAGTTCAAAATGTTACAGGGCAGTAACTTATCCAGAACTTGATCAAGCACTTAAGGAATTTGTGTTAATTTACCAAAATAAAACAATTCTAAGCGATGCTTTTCTTGTTAAAAAGGCTAAAGTATTTTATATTATAAATTTTTAATACTCTAACCTTTTTTTGCATTAATACCAAAAGAATACCTATATTTTTTAATTAAATTATTTAACCAAACTTAAACATATCTATTAATTATAATATAGTTACTTGCTACTGGTTTCAGAATTTCTCAGAGTGCATTAAAATTTTCTAATAGCTGGCTTGAAAAATTTAAAGATAGAAATGAGATTCGTTAACATCATCTAGAAAGAGAAGCTAGATCCGCTAACAGAACAGCTATTGATAATTTTTTACCTTTGATAAGAAACAAATCTTCGAATTACTTTTTAGAAAGAATTTATAATATGGATGAGACTGGGCTTTTTTATTGATATAACTAATAAGCCTTTTAATATGAATATATTTTTATTAACTATTACTAAAACTTATCTTATAGGCTAGAACCAGATAAAACATTAGCAACTCAGCATCTTTTTGAATGTAAAGTAAATAAAGAACATCTCTCAATTGCATTGTGCACAAATGCTGATAGTTTACATAAATTGGTTTCTTTTGTAATAAGAAAGTATGCAAAATTATGCTGCTTTAAAAATATCAAAATTCAAAATTTAGCTATTAAATATAGGAATAGTTCTAGAGTATAGATGATTATTACCTTATTTCAAGATTGGCTTAAAGAGTTTGATTATCAAGTTGGTTTAAAGCATCACTGTTAATATGTACTACTTATTCTTGATAATTGTACTAACCATAAACTGGATGGTCTTATCTTATGATATACTGATGTTCTTTTTCTACCTTCAAATATAACTTCTCAAATCCAACCACTTGATGCTGAAGTTAAAATGAGCTTTAAGCGACACTATCATCACTATTATATTCAGTAAGATTTCATATTGCTTAATTTTCTAATAATCATTTTGCTAACAAATTATCATATAGTTAGAAGTATATTTTTAAGTTTTGGCATATACTATTACCTTTTATGAGTAGTGTATATTTTGCCAACAATTACTTTACTAATATCTTAGTTCACCAACAAATTAATTCATATACAAGTTTATTTTCCTGACAATTATTTCACCAACAATATTTCACTGACAATGTAATTCTGATATTGTTGTTAGTGTAAAGTTAGAATTAGAGTTAAGGTTAGTGTAATTTATAAAAAATACTTGTTGGTAAAATGAGCTATTAGTGAAATAATTGTTGGTGAAATGAACTTTCTGTGAATTAATTGTTAGTGGACTAAACTGTCTGTGAAGTGATTGTTAGTGAAATAATACATATCCATCTTTTGTAATGTTAAATAAACAATCTGTTTGCAAAATGACTATTAATTATAACTTTAAAAATTAACTAATATATATATATTAAGATGGATGTTAAAATATGTAGAAAATAGTCAATATGCAAATGAGCTAAAAATGAATATTTTGCAAGCTATACATTTTATTATTCAAGGCTGGGAGAAAGTTACTGCAAAAACAATTTGCAATTGTTGGTAGCATACTAAAATTCTCTTTGCAGATACTAATACTAACTTACAAGATCTCTCTGATGATATTTCTCAAACAATGAATTCAGAGCTTGATGATTTTTCTGATATACTTGAAGCCCTTCATCCTCATCTTACTTACTCAATGCAAGTTGAAGAATTCTTGTCAATTTCCAATAAAAATATTGCTTACGAAATTCCTGATGATGATTAGGTTATTACAGATCTTGTAAATACATTTAGAGTAGCTAATTTAACCACTAATGATTCAGAAGAAATGGATAATGATAGTAATGAAATTTCTATAATAAATATTAACACAGCAATGGCAAGCTTGGAAACAGTGTGTACTTTTCTTCTTCAACAAGATAATAATACGAATGAATATATTAAGACTGCTAGAAAAGTTGAAGCTTTTATTAAAAAAATTAAATTAAATCAAATGTGTCAAAGTAAAATTAGTGATTACTTTTTGGAGAAATTCTAAAAGTTTAATTCTGACACTTATCTTATCCCTTAAATTGTAACACAGGCAAATTTGCTTGTGTTTTTATTAAAAAGTTTAATTTTTTTAATAAAAACTTA